GGTCTCACCGCCATCCCTTTATCCACCACTCATAGTCTCATACTATCATGTATGTATCATGTTGAAAATGTGAACACAATTTATTACAATGTGAATGTCTCTGTCTCACCTATCATCCACAACAAACATCTGGGTCCCAGCCTTCTTCTATCGATCCTATATCTTGGGATGGAAATAGTAGTACCATTATCACAACTTGATTAAAGCTAGGTTTAAGCTAGGTAAACCGAATTTTAAGATCACGTTTTTTAATTATTGATGTGTCAAAAATAAAAATTAAATACTTTAATTAATATTTATGTAATACTCCAATCACCAACAACACATCATGTGATCTCTATATCATTACCCTACAATCATATTTATTTGGACCGATATGGCTGTGTGATGATAAATGAAATAGTGTTAGTTCTGAACAACATATTTGTTTGGAAGTTCAATTAATTTGTGAGTAGGCTCCAGAACAATCCGTGACCGCTGCCGATAATGCTAGGGTAGTATCAAACAAAAGCAAAGAATGATACCAAAGTGGGTAATTAAGATGCTGAAATGGAAGTGACAGCCGCATTGGAAGTGATAGCTGCATTTGTTTGTTTCAACCTTGAATTTTTATGGATGGTGGTTCGAAGAAAATATAACCAAAAAAAAAAGGGTAAAAGATGGATTATCAATCAAATCATTCGTAAACTCATAGAAGGTTCTACTTTCCTAAACCTACCTACCAAATCATCCCATGACTGAATTTATTAAATGTAAACTGAAAAATGCATTTCAATCCTCCATGCTTTTTTATTGGAATTCAAATTCGGAGATGGATGGTCTACCCTTCCCTCTATACATTTATTATGTCCTTTTGTTTTGTGTGGTCACAGTTAAGTCATGTTAACATTTTATATTAATTTTTTATAAAAATAATAAAATAAAAAACAAATGTTAACGTGACTTAACCGTGACCGCACAAAACAGGAAAGTATGAAAAGGGTATAGGAAGGGGAGGGAAAACAATCCATCTCCTTCAAATTCTACCAACTACAAAATAGAGACTCGGCACCATTAAGTCAAATTTAGGCTTTATATTTCCCAAGGCTTCTTGAAATTTTCTTTCTTTTTTGAAAAGACTTGAAATGTTATTTTCATTAGTCTAAAAAGCCCTGCTTAGGCATTAGATGGTTAGGCACCGTTCAGATTAGTCCTTAGAAGTTTGAAAATTAAGAAATGCTCATGAACCTGCTTAGGCGTCGGCCTAATCTACCTAAATCCACCTAGGTTGCAACTTTCATTTAGACAGAAAATCATATAGCTTTCATTTTGCATTTTATTTTATCAATAAGTTATAATAGATTTGTTGAATGTTTTCATGAACACTCATTATATGCTTATTTCCTATATTTTCAATATGTTCTAATACTTTATAATCTAAATATCATTTTCTTTTACCGTTTATGTATCACAATACAATTATATGTTTCTTTAGAGTATTAACAAACACTTATTTATATAATATATAATAAATTTATTTGATTCTGCCTATTCCACCTAAATCCCCGTCTCGCCCCACCTAACGGCAAGACCTCAACTTGTCATCCGACTAGTGCCTAACATTTTTTAGATACCTGGTTATTTTAGTATCACTCTCCCCAACGAAAGTAAATTTGTTCCACTTTGATCCTAGAACTTAATAATCTTCGTCCCACGTATTCTATCAAGTTCGTGAAATGTTGCGATTACTATATTATTTCCACGTAAGAAAAGTTATCATAAAGGAGAATTCAGATAATGTGAAACAAAAAGTGAGTTCTATAAGAATGAAACAAATTAAATTTTAGGGGAACTGAGACTAAAATCAAAGTTAATGCAGCATGGCAACAATAAAGCAATGAGGTGTCGTTTAGAAAAGTAGATGAAGCGAAAAAGTATATCCCATAAGGCCCCAACTTCTCCATTTAAATAGTTAAAGACCAACAACCCCAAGCAATTCCTCTCAAAGATGCACACTTTTTTTGCATGTAAAAAAACCTAAAATAATAAAAACCCACTTGCCAAAAGTTAAAAATATGCACACTGCCTCTTTGAATTGCTTTCACATCCCTTTCTACCCCAAAACCAAAGGCTGTAAATCACATAACCATAGTCAAAGACTTTAAGCACCGCAACCCCCATCCCTCTTTGTACTAATGGCTTTTGGCACTCTCCACCACCTCCTCCTTCTCCTCCCACCTTTACCTTTATCACCTCCATCTCCTCCTCCCCACTACCTTGAAAAACCCACCAAAAGCATAAGCCCATCATTCTTTGCCCCATCAGGTATTTGATTACTTGTCACTGAGAGATTAACAGCAAACATGGGTTACCTCTCTTGCAATGCAGAGTCGGCAATCGCCACCTGCGATCCCTACAACTGGGACCGCAAGAGAAAACCCAGAACCCACAAAACCCAACACATCAACAAGCCCATTAAGATCAGACACTTTTACTACGACGACCTCGTCGCCGCCACCAATGGGTTCGCCGCTGACAGATTTCTGGGCAAAGGAAGCCACGGAAGTGTCTACAAGGCCATCCTAGACGACGGCAGCCTCGTCGCCGCCGTTAAGAAGACGAAAACCACGAAGCCGTCGTCGTCGGCGAGTCTTCACAACGCGGAGAACGAGATCGAGATCCTCTCGAGAGTTCACCACCCCAGGCTCGTCAATCTAATCGGATTCTGCGCCGATGGAAGAAACGATTACGACACTAAGTTGCTTGTCGTTGAGTACATGCCCAACGGCTCCCTCTACGACCTGCTACACTTAAACTCCCAACCGCCCGGTTGGACCAGGCGGGTCCGGTTCTGTTTACATGTGGCGAAAGCAGTTCAGGCGCTCCACTTGTCCAACCCGCCCGTCATCCACCGCGACATTAAATCGTCCAACGTTTTGATCGACAAGGACGGAAACGCGCGGCTCGGCGACTTAGGGCTGGCGTTGAGGGGACACGTGGAGGACGTTCGGGTTAAGTGTACACCACCGGCGGGGACGTTAGGGTACCTCGACCCGGGCTATCTTGCGCCTGGGGATCTGAGCACCAAAAGCGACGTCTTCAGTTTCGGAATACTCCTGTTGGAGATTCTGAGCGGGAGAAACGCCATTGACGTGAACTACAGTCCGCCATCGGTGGTGGACTGGGCCATGCCGATCATAAAGCGCGGCGACTTCGCCGGAATCTTGGACCCCAGAATCGGACCACCGTCGGACCCTGCCGTGATCCGCCGCGTGGCGGTGTTGGCTGCGAAGTGCGTGCGATCCTCGGTCGAGAGGCGGCCCACAATGGCGGAGGTGGTCGAGTGCCTCAAAATCGCGAGGAAGAGAGTCCACGCGCCGCCTATATGGAGCAGATTCAAACGGCGAGTGAACGCGAAGCGCGTGGAGAATAAAAACGATGGTCATGACCACCACTCCGGCGAATACGAAGAGGTTGTAAACGTGAAGAGCATGAGAGGGGGGAGTAGAAGGAAGTTGAACGGGAAGGTATCGAGTGTGTTGGGCGCAGAGTGCGAGGGTGAGGAGGACGCGATGATAGGTGGTTGCGTGGCGAGGTCAAAGTCAATTGGGTCGGTGAATGAGATTAAGGCAGGAGGAGGCAGGAATCGTGGGCGGAAGGGAGCGGGGGGTGGGGTGGCGCTGAGGGTGGCGCCGTCAGTGGTGAGGCTGAACAAGTCGAGGTCAACGGGGGTGTTGAATTTGAGAAGTCCGAGGGTGGTGCGTCATCACAAGAGAGGGTTTGTGTTTGAATTTGGAGGGAGGGAGGTTGATTCGGTGGAACTGGATATGTCAAAGTGGGTGATTAGTTTGGATAATCATAACGGTGAGAAAATGCTTGAGAAACCACTGGTTCCTATCTAACTGATGATAATTTAATTAATTTTGGAGTATTGTGTTGTTCAAATTAAAAGTTAGGGTTTGTAAAATAAGTCTCAAGAGGTAATGTGGTGGTGGTATTTGCTTTCTTGATTTACTCAACATTTTGTATCTTTGTAGTTTATTCTCACGAGAAAAAAAAAAACTGTTACAAGTTACATTTTTGTATTTGGCTTGTATGTATTAGAAGAAAAAAGCTACGGAGATCTAAAAATGCATTAAGGGGTGGAAGAGTGAGTTAATTCTCAACGGGCTAACAATAATGTGATTCATATTCATCTTTGGCGAAATCAAACCTAATACATTTCACTTACAAGTGAAAAGAAATACCATTAGACAGTAGTACTAAGTGGTGATTGGGCTTCTTTTTTAATGATCTAAAGAATGAATCCAACCGTCAACCGTCACATCTAACATCACATTTTTATAAAAATTGTTCAAACGAGAGTTAATTAGTTATCTGTTTATGATAAATAAATAGATAAATACAATATTTTCAAAAGATGAGGACATGAAAAATCATTGGAATTGTGTTATCTTGACAACTAGTTTATGAGACTTTGAATTAATAGGTACTTGAGAATATAAGAAAACAACTAAATCATAGTTATAAGTAGGCTCTACACAATTATATAGTCGATATTCCAAGTCAAACTAACAATGCAAGTAGGGAGACAAAGTTGCGCACAATTATATAGTCAATTATTTTAAATACTATAAAAACCCCAAGATGCAATGTATATACTTCAAATATCAAAAAATTGTTAATGGTCCAATCAAGAAAATTACTTAATTATCTAATATTGATTAAATCTCTAGATTTGGAATTAGTCTTTCTAATAGGTCTTATGAATTTACAGAGACAACTCTCAAGTGAACATAGCAAACATAGCATTACCCACCCGCACCCCCACCCGCACCCCCATCCCCATGCATTGTATGCATAAATTAATCAGCAGCATTCTGCAGAACCAAGAAAGATGACTGACTGTTTGGTAACCGGAGTAGGTCAGTCTCTGAAAACGGAAAACCAGGCAATGCCGCAATAGCTTGAAAGTTTTCCCGATTTGTGGGTGCTATCATGCGTTTGCCTACTCAGTAATCACTTGCTAAATGGTCCATCGAGGCATCGACGGCCTCGCGCGCATGCAAACGCAAGCAACGGTCACATCTAAAAGCGTTGGCTCCACTCCAAAAACTACTTAATGCAGTGCCCGTCAGCCATGTCTAAGGTAAGATTCTGCTTTTGTCAGTTGGATTTGATCGCAGTTAATGCTTCTTCTTCCGCATTGGATGCTTGTTAATGCCTGCCAATATGGAAAATCGGTTTCTGGCTTTCTTCTCATTCCTTTATGACTCATGTTTTTCTAGCCAAATGCAGGTCGATGTCTACTCGACGGTCCACGAAAATTACAAATAACCAAAAAAAAAAAAAGAAAATTTGAAAGAAATCCAATTTTATAGCCCATCTTTTGAAATATATCCAATTTTTAGTGATTTTTTATTTTTGAAATAGATCCAATTTTTAGTCCAATTAGACCCATATCAAAAGACCAAAAAAAATACAAAAATACAAAAATTTACGCAGGATATTATTTTCGAGATACTTTTAATCAAGTATATCTTATTGTATAATTGCAAGTATATCTTATTGTACTTTTAATCAAGCATATCTTGTTCTATAATTGCATGTATATCTTATTGTACTTTTAATCAAGCATATCTTGTTCTATAATTGCAAGTATATCTTATTGTATCTACTGATCCCTCGTATCATTCCATCATTTCACAAATGAAGCCTTATAGGGAAGAGATTTTTATTTTTATTTTTATTTTTTTTAAATGGGGATTAGTTGTGGGACTCACACAAAATCAAACTTTTACGATCCAAACCGTCTATTTTTTAAGTTGAACCTCTTATGTCACATCCTGGCCAGGGATCCACCACATCCCAAGCCCATTCTACCACCGTAGCACGATATTATCCGTTTTGGGCCTCGACTACGGCCTCACGATTTTGTTTCTGGGAACTCACACGAGAACTTCCCAGTGGGTCACCATTATGGGATTGCTCTCGCGTGCTACTCACTTAATTTTGGAGTTCCAATGGAACCCGAAGCCAGTTAGCTCCCAAAAGGCCTCGTGCTAGGTAGGGATGATAATATACATATAAGGATCACTCCCTGGCGATGTGGGATCTTACAATCCACCCCATTAGGGGCCCGACGTTCTCGTCGGCACACCACAGCCAGGGTTAGGCTCTGATACCAAACTAACACACCCCGCCCTGGAATGCCTACTTGGACTCTGAATTGAGTTGTGTTGGCCGACACCTGGAAGGTGACGAAGCCATAAAGTGTAGTGATGTGGAAAAAGTGAATAAATTAAACCTAAAAGTGCCTAATCAAAAGAGTGTGCGGGTGAGCAGGATTGAACCCTTTTCACACGTGATGTTAGAGCATAAGACAGTATAATAAATAGGATGAAGGTTATACCACTGAAGGTAACCATCTCCTAAGATTTGCCAGAATCCTCGTATATGCATAAATACAGCTACTAAACCTGAAGGGGCGAAAAACAAAGTTGAGTGAGTCAGCAAAACAATGCTTATACGAAAACCTTTATTTTTGAATATACTAACCCCTCGTCGTAAAACAAGTATAGTTTCCTTAAAACATACTACGTAAGTATGTAATCGAATATAACAGCAATATAACCAGAAATATGCCAAGTCATGATATATCAAATGCCAAAGTAATATAATCATGTGATAATCAATTATAAGTAGTTTGCTCATCATCTAAGCTAGCACACGAGTTGGGACTGCCTAAGGCAATTCTACCCGACAATACTGGGTGTAATCAATGCGCTCTAGTACTACGATCACGCAAAGATTGGTGCAAAAGCATGGTCACATACAAGTCAGATTGCCTAATGCAATCTACCTGACAGGACTGGCACCTAACTTGGATCCAAGGCGAACAAATGGTGCGGATATGAACATACATGTGAATGACTGGCCCTGGCCCTGGGCGAAGTACTAACCAGGGTGCAGCAAGATGAGCATGTACAATATGTATGAATGTCATGACAATAATATCCCAACCATATAGCAGCATCTATCACATTTCATATCACAATAATGAATACTTGGCAATATAAGCGTAAAAGTGAAGTAACTACGCATTTAGGGAAACTATCAATATGTATAGGTATAAAATAAACTGCCCACTCACAGATACTTTGCCGTTGACGAGTCATGCAACCTAGCGAAGATGGAAACGCTACTAATAATTGCCCCTAAGCACAAAAAGGTACAATTAATAAAACTATATTATAACAATTGAATTAGAGAAAACAGACGTCAAAAACAGATTCAGGACGTCGAATTACCCTATGAAAGGTCCTGCTTAGATTTCCGAAAAGTCAACAAAAGTCAACAGGATGAATATTCCTTGAATGACGGAATATTCCCTGACGGATGGAATATTCCCTAATGGAATATTTCATTTGGGTTAAGGGTTATTAGGTTGGGTTAGATTAATAGGTTGGACTTAAGCGTTCTAGGCCTAAAGGCCTAAACTAAAAGGGTTTAGGGCTTTAGGGATTGGGTTTGGGGTTTAGGCCTTCACAAATAAGGCCCAAGGCTCTTAATTTAACAAATAAAATAAAAATAAAAGAATTAAAGGGATTATGGGTTTGGGTTTAGAGTCACGGGCCAAAGGCCTTCTTCTACTTGGCCCTAAGGGCCTAGGTTTGAAAAGGTAGGGCTTAAAAGCCTAGCCCAAGTCCAACATATGGGTCGCCAGACCCAAAGGAAGAGGAAGGCCGGAATTCGGCCTGAAAACCACACAACCTTTAAACGTTCACAACTTCCTCGTTACTCAACAAAATTGAGTGAAACAAAAACAAAAGTTGTCATTCTCGAAGAGACGAAGAGAATGGTACCTTGCACGACATCTAACTCGCCATGTTTGGTCGTAAAATGCCTCGAAAGCAGTCAAACTCGCAGGAAACTGGGTAAGATTCAAATAAGTATAACTTCTTCAATACTCAATGAAATTGGGTGAAAAAAAGGGAAAGTTATAGTACTCAGGTAAATGAAGAGATTGATACCTTGCACGCCGGCCAACTCGTTGTGGTTTGGCCGGACATTGGCTCGAAATGCATGGGTCAAACTTGAACTTCTCGAAACCGAGTTGTTTCACGTCAAAACTTACTCAAACCTTGACTAGGGACCCTAGGGAGTTGCGTAGAGGCTTTCTCGAGTCCTAAAACATCGTGACTCGGTTGAAAACACGTCGAACTCAACTCGTCCGAGTTCAAACCTTCCGAGTTGGCGAGTCAAAACTCGTCCATTCTTAGTTTGGTTGGTATGGTTGTGTTCGTGGAGGTAAGGTGAACACAATGGTAAGGTTTTTTAAGCTCGAACAATGAAGATTTAGGGTTGGTCTTCCTTGTTGCAGAGAAAAGAGAGTGAAAGAGAGACCTTCAGGGGGGGGAGAGAGAGAGAATACTAAGTTTTTTTTTTTATTGGTGACTAGTGTGAAGGTCACGAATTGGATGCCAAATTGAGGGAACAAAAGTGATTGGTGGTGAGGAAATCCGGGAAAATGAGAGAATGAGAGGGTTTTAAGGGTTTTGATTGGTTGAATGCGTGAAGTGTAGGGAACACGGATCCACAAAATCAAGGGGAGGATTGGATATCAGATTTTGTATAAATTTTTTTAATGTACAAAATCTGTCCTCTTGACAGTGTTATGATATTGTAAATTTGTACACGCGTGTACAAAAATAGTCATATTCAACCTACTTTATCGGAGCGTAACTTTTTTGTTACAAATCCGATTCGGGTCTAACTCACATCCACGAGATCGTGACAACGAGTACTAATTAAGTACGAACCCAAGAAAATGAATCTGAAAGCCAAAAACTACATCCACATCACATTCCACTTTTGTCCAAAAAGGGTATGACCGTCAAATTACACCAATAAAAAGAAAATTACCTTGAAAAGTAGGGATAGGTCGTCACAATCTACCCCTTTAAGAAAATTTCGTCCCCAAAATTTGAAATCATTTGTTACACAAAACTCGAAGATAGGAAGAATAAAATATGTGTACGTAACAAAGAAATCAAGTTAAAGCGGTTGCACAAAAGGGAAAATGTCATTCCATTGCGATCGGAGTGCAATGATTCCTCTATCATGCCTCCAACTCATAATTTCCTTCTTCTTCAGTACAATACTATAATATAATAGTTTTCACAAAAACAAAACGTCTAAAATATTTATATGCACTAACATCCCGTCAAAAATACATATAAATAGCAACATAAGGTTAAAGTAGTTGTATTGATTTAAAACTGAACATAGGATTTTCTCTACTACACTCCCATGCGTCGCGTACTCCGAAAGTAAGTACATAATATCCTTGGGTTGAGCCCAAGTAATAAATAGGTAAAATACAACAAACAATAAGTACTAGGTAAGCACTAACATAAAAGAATATACCTATTTATTTGCTTAACGAATCCAACAAATAAGTCCTTGATATTATGCTCTGCAGCCCGCGATATCGACAACTCATTGTTGTCACGATAAGCAACTAACAAATTCCCGAGGGTGCAATATTACCATCATGCCCCCCATTGGGAAATAAACAATTAACGTCTAGTCAAGTCTCTACCATGCTCATGCACTACCCCTACTTGGGTAACAACAACAATAAGATAACATTTCTATAATGTGAACTCTCACAATTGAACACTTGTTTGCAAAACTCCTCTATCAAGCAAGTGCTAAGCAAAGAATCTCCATAGTGTCATAACAAAGACCAACAATTTTGTAATTGTAGTTATAAGCATTTCTAGTGAAGATAAGTATCAAATACGATCATGCTACAACTATAAAGCAAATAAACGTAACACATCAAGAAAATTTGGATAGTCCGTTTAGACTGGTTGTTAGTATAAGGGAGATATGTAGCCGGTGACAAGACTTACTACATGTGGTATTCAAGAAGACTTCTCCAAAACTTAGTGAAAAGTAACTACGTCGAGAAGGCTAGAAAAATACTCAAGAATTTGAGGATCAAACCTAGAGTACGAGACAACTGGATTGGAAGGCATAACCTCACTACAACAGTAGTTCTCAAGATATCCAATCACCACGGTAAAGATTCGTTCAACTGAGCATTTGCTGGGTGATTGAGTAATTAATGGTCACAATTGCACTTCAAACGTCAACAGTTCTTCTAGACAGTGCATCCACTTCAAGGCAATACGAAGTGTAGTAGGGTAGACACATACCCAAGGTTAACTAGAATACCTTCCATCACCAAGAGGTGAAAATGTTGAACTTTTGAACCAACGAAAAGCGAATTGACTTGTCACATCAATTGATAATCACCATACATCACCAAAATCTCGTATAGCGATATTTTCCTCTCTCTACTCAGACATAAGAAGTGATTATAACGACTTGAACAATTCTTGATCATTTGTAAGTATCGTCAAATCGATACTCACAAATCCTGATTAGAATGGGATAAGACAAGCTAAAGACGTTCAAGGGTAGATACGTCTTTTGTTGTTGTAGCAGCAATACATTTGCATGATCGGGGTAATACACGATAGTGCAATCGTAGACATTGGTTTAGTTCTTCCATTCATCACTGTCAGAAATTTAGCTTTTTCCCAGCGAAAGTGTACTCGAGAAATTTGTGAGGTTAGTGAAGATTTGAACACGTTTCTCCACAAAGAAGAGTCATCCATCTTTCGAATAAAGATGATGACTGTTGACTTTAGGTCATGAATAAGATGCTTCGTTTGGAATGGTTCTAACCATTGGCAAATAAAAGCAATACTCTGTCATGTTGCCTCTGCCCGGTCGAAACATCCAAAGAACACGTCACACTGGATCTTGAAATGATTAGAGCTAACAAAAGGTGTAAAATAAGGGTAAGATGAGACAACACTTCAATTGTCAGAAACTTTAATCATTTGCAATAACCCAACCTAAATTAACTTTCCTCGGTCGTAAGTGAGGAGAGACACGGTAGCCCAAAAGATCGCTAACAATTTGTCGATAAATTAACAAGATCAAGATATCATAGTTTTGCAATACCTTGCAAGAATTTTAACCTTCTTCCACTAAACCCTTTTTGGAAAAGGAGAGAATGTCGTTTACCGAGATTATGTTTCCCAAGAAAGTACCAACTAACAGGGGTTACCTGAGGAATTGATATAAGGCTGAGTGTCGGTGTTTCCCCAACACTCAATTTTTGATACTAAAATTGAAGAGAGAGTCGTTGGTAAGACTACTTCGAATTTTGTTAGGCTATGAAAAAACTCTAGGTTTCCAAAAGTTAATCGGAGAGAACAACAACTCAAAGTAAAACTGATGGTTTTAGTCGTCAACCGACTGAATTGTTGAAGTCTAGGTACGAATCTAAGGTTTAGCCTTTCGCCTTCGCGAATAGGTTCAAGATTCCCAAGATAAAGTGTTTAGTCCCTAGTTAGGTAAATTCCTAATTGGTAAACTCTGTAACTAAGTTTCTCAATGACTCCAGAAATGTTCAATACGAAGCAAGGAAAGTTGGTGTAATACTAGGAAGTCGGTCGATGATGTATCTCACTTCACAATTTAGTGATATCTTAAGGAAGATTTTGGATTATGACACCAAACGTATACGTCCTCAAAACGTACTATACTACTAACCAACTCTACGACACGAACTAAGGTGATCGAAAGGTGGCTAATCGAAGAGGTTTTGTTTACCTAGGTAGGTGATAAGGTGAAAACAACCATGAGTTTACTATCCTAATACAAAGCTTGTTAATAAGCTCCCACGATCCTAGTTTATTCGGCTCAAGTAGCCACTGCTAATCAGCCTATCAGTAGTGTTGCCATAAGCTAATTACAGGTTTTCGAGTAATAAGCTTCGGGTGATTGGGAAGGAACTGGTCAAGCGAAGTAGTTCGTTGATCTTAGGAGGCTTTGATTACTGCTTTGGGATTTCTGTTAGTCCCAGGATATGACAACTCACACTCGCAAGCCTATTCTCACCCAATTAATAACTATAACAACGAAAGGAAAATCTGGGAATTAACATTGGTTGGAAAGCCCCAAGGCTGGAAAAAGAACTTGCTAACTCTACTTTGGAAATGAACTTAAACGGAAGTCGATCTTCCTCCTGAAGATCCAGAATGGTCACTAGTACATTGGAGATATTAGTGTTATCAGGGACCAAAAATGATTGTCTCTCAGATGATCTTCCGTTAAATGCTACCACTTTGGCACCAGGTTGTCGCTTCAGACATTTCTAGAATATGTTACTTCACCAAGATTCTAAGAAAGGGTAAATTAATAAGTGCTACCAAAGGAACAAAACCATTTCTGGTTTCCTAATTTGAAGGGTTGGTTAAAACAATTAGTAAATCCCTGGTGATACTCAACTCTTGATATCTTAGCTCGGCTATGGGGCTAGCAACTCGTTCCTCAAAACGGAAATTCCTTGGTAGGAAAGTTCGTTGTTTAAAATCTAGGGGCAATTTCCAAAATGATTTTCTAAACTGACGATAAGTCATCTAAAGTGCCCAAAACTTGAGTAAAAGCTAACCCATTTTTTGTGTTCAACAAGGTGGCAAGTTTCAAAAATTAGGTTCAAGAACCAAGAATGCTTAGATAACGCGTGTGATGAATGCAATACTGCCTAAAAACTTATGCTCTGATACCAAACTAACACATCTCAGCCCAGGGTCCACCACATCTCGGGCCCGTTCCACCATCGTAGCATGATATTGTTCGCTTTGGGCCCTTACTACGCCTTCACGGTTTTGTTTATGGGAACTCACACGAGAACTTCCCAGTGGGTTACCCATCATGAGATTGCTTTCGCACGCTACTCGCTTAACTTCGGAGTTCCTATAGAACCCGAAGCCAGCATCACCCAACCCCCATTTTATTTCAAATTAGTTTTTAATTCTTAATTGGTGTGCCCAAGGGGCCACCTTCTGTTTTTGTGTCCCTTATTCCCGTCACTCTTCCATCTCTCTCATCCCTCTTCTTTCTCTCACTCTCCATCTCTCTCAACCTCACTATTCCATCCTCATCGTTAAACCCACACACACATACCCACCACCACAACCACCTAGCCACGACACCACCATCACCTCTGGAACTTTCTTCTCTCTCTCCCCCGTCTCAGCGAAGCTCCAGGACACCCAGAGAACACCCAAGTCTCCCCCGACGACTCCAACGAATTTCGAGGCAAGTTTCAACCAAACCACTGTGATTTGGATGGCATGCAAGGTATCAATCTCTTCGTCTCACTGAGTACTACAACTTTCCTTTTTGTTTCACCCAATTTCGTTGAGTATTGAAGAAGTTATACTCATTTGAATCTTACCCATTTTTCGGCAACCTTCGAGGATTTCGAGGCATTTTTCGGTCAAACCATGATGAATTAGACGTCGTGTGAGATACCATTCTCTTCTTCTCTTCGAGAACTACAACTTTCATTTT